TTAGCATCCTGCAAAATCAAGAGCTCCCCAGTTTCCCCAATGAGCCCAAACAGCAGCTTAGGAAGGCAAAAAGAATTATCAGCTCCCCAGGACTATGGTTGCCCCATCCCTCATTAAAAGAAGCTACTATCAGTTATTTATCAGTTTGCCAAGTTATAGTAACACAGCTTGGTGGATTCTACCATTTTCTGTAAAGAAGCTCTGAGAACTTGAAACGAGAACTTGAATTTAGCAGATGAACAGCCTGGGTACTCAGGATGCATCTTGTAGGCCAAGTTCTTGTATTAGAAAATCTTCTTGGCAAGTATTACAAGTATAATGCTATTAATGCTCCGTAGTTGCATTCTAGGATGGAACTCTCACAGATTTGCCCTGGCAAAATTAGGTATTTAATAGCTTCTTAACCAGAGAGAAAAATTAGGATAGTGTTTCACATAGACTCTTGCCAAAAGTTACTGCTTGTAGGTTTGACGATAAATCGCTACCTCCCTCCACTGCAGAGGATCTAGCAATTACAAGGCTGCCATAAACTAATCAAACTTTGGATCCTGTTAAATACAACATCAAATCTCACCATAAAATTTGAAGTCAAAAACCTAGATGGCTCATTCAGTACAGTAAGGACTGAGGCCAAATCTGTTCCCTAAACCATACAAGGTTTCAATGCTCTATATGAGATTGATTACGATATGATTTGCTTTTCTGAGGTGTACTGCTTATGCCTGTCTCCCTGTACTTCAGGTAAGCATGTCTGTTCATCTCTCACTTCTCCTTTGTGACAATGCTAAATAGGAACGTTTCTGAAATTTTAAACAAATTTAATGGAACGACAATCGTGCTTCCCACCTCGTTGTCTGCAGCATTTACAATAGATAATCTATGAAAGCAACTGAATGCCAGCCAGACAATAAAAAAGATAAAAACTAGTATGACAATACCTGGGAGAGTATCTTGGTTTTGCATATCTTTTTCTTGGTAATTAAATGTCCAAATTTAACACCACCTTCCTTCATCTTCACACCCTGGCTCCTAGGTACCCAAAAATTCAGTACCCCATTTCTGTTTAACTCCATTACAGAGTATCCTCTGTACAAAACTGGAAACATATATTGACATTTACCATGTCTTTTTCACGGCAGTGTAATTGCGTGCTTGAGTGAAGACATCAAAGTGCCATAGAATCATAAAATGGCTTAGGTGGGAAGAAATCTTAAATATCATCTAGTTCCAAGCCCCTGACATGGACTGGGACATCTTCCACTAGATCAGGTTGCTTAAAGCCTCATCCTTGAATGCTTCCAGGGATGGGCATCCACAACTTCTCTGGACAACTTATTCCAGAGTCTCAACACCCTCACCCTTTATTTCTAATATCCAACCTCAGTCTACCCTCTTTCAGTTTGAATCCACTCCCCCCTTGCTCTGTCACTACACGCCCTGGCAAAAAGTCCCTCCCCCATCTTTCTTGTAGGCTCCTTTTATGTACTCAAAGGCTACAATAAGGTCATCACAGATGCTTTCTCTTCTCCAGGGCATAAAATCTCCACTTTTTCAGCCTTTCCTTATAGGAGAGGTGCTTCATCCCTCTGATCAACTTGGTGACCCTCCTCTGGACTCTCTTCAACAGGCCCATGTCTCTCCTGTGCTGGGGACCCCAGAGCTGGTTGCAGTTCTCCAGGCAGAGTTTCACCAGAAGGGATGGGCAGAATCCCCTCCCTGGCCCTGCTGCCCACGCTGCTTTGGATGCAGCCCAGGACACAGTTGGTTCTCTGGGCTGTGAGTGCCCATGGCTGGCTCATGCCCAGCCTCTCATCCAACCAGCACCCCCAAGTCCTTCTGGGCAGGGCTGCTCTGATCTGTCCATCCCCAGCCCCTGTTGATACCAGGGTTGCCCTGACCCAGGTACAGCACTTGTACTGGTCTTACTAAAACTCATGAAATTCCCATGGGATCTGTATTGGGCCAATTTCTCAAGCTTGTCCAGGTCTCTCTGGATGACATCCTGTCCTTCGGGTTGTGGCAATTACACCAGTCAGCTTGGTGTCATCTGCAAACCTGATGAAGGTGCCTCCCTTTGCCGATATAATTAACAAATATATTAAGTAACACTGGTCTCAATAGAGATCCCCATGAGACATCACTCATCACTGATGTCCGTCAGGACTCTGAATGACTGACCACTGCCTTCTGGATGCAATCATTCAAACATGTTGTAATCCACCACGATTCTGGTTAACTTATGCATAGAAGCCCTTCTTGTTATTCTTTGAGTCTCCTGCCAGGTTTAGTTCAAGCTTCATCTTGGCCTTCCTTACCCTCTCCCTACACAGCTGAACTTCATCTCTTCTCAGGTCACCTGTCCTCGTCTCCCCTGTCTGTGCATTTACTTCCTTCCCTTTAGTTTGACCAGCAGTTACCTACTCAACCATTGGGGTCTCTTGCCTGATTTTGTGCTCCTGGAAATTGCTAGCTCCAGCACTCTAAGGAAGACTTTCTTAAAGACCTACCAGCTTTTTCCACTCCCTTCCCTGAGGGCAATCTCCAAAACGATGCCACTGGCAATCTCCCTGAAGAGCTTTATTCCTTACCTGACCCATACCCCTAAGGACTGCCAAATCCACCAATGCATGATCACTACATCATCCATAGCTTTTAAAGCTGAACTAAAACACAGAAAAAGAAAGCCTCTTCATTAAAATCACTTAGCTGCCAGTGGTGGCCAGAGAATTATTTTCTCTACTGTTACTATTAAATTATTATTACTAATGCAATTCTTATTATAAGGGTGCAACTGCAATTCATGTGGTTTAAAAAAAAAAAGGCAGGAGGTATTTAAAATGCTGCTGCAACAGTAAATATCACCTCTGGCATATTTGTCGTGGAAGAACAGAGCACGATTTGGAATACCTAATTGAAATGTGCTACAGGAGATAAGGCTGGCTGCAGAGACTGACATTTAAAAGCGGGAGACACCAAACAAGACATAAAATATCACTGTTGCTGCCTCAAAGCAGAAAGCCACTTGCACAGAACTGAAGTTTTCTCCTACTCACCCCTCGCCCCTCCCCAACTGACAGACACAGCAAGCAATTAACCCCTTCCCTGATGTCACCAGTAATACCACCCCCACAGAAATATAAAGGCTGCTACAATTTCATGTAGTTATTTCCTCCTGCAAATCACGCAGCCCTGCACCAAGCAGCATGTCTTCCTTCTTCCCATTCCTGCAAAATCTTGTTTCTTCCCTGACACATCAACATTTCAAATTCCAGCACACAAGATGCTGGAAACCAAGCTCTCCTCCTGCCTAGCCCTGCATGGCAGCATGTGCACCCTGTGCCTACTGGCCTCTGAGTAGAAGAGCCAGTAAACTCCTCATTAACTGGAATGGAATCCAGGGATAGTGCCAGAATACAGAGCTTATGAAAAAATCCTTGGCACACAAGGGATAATACGATATGTTTGACTGCTCAATCTTTTGCTGCCTTAGTCAGAAGGAGCTTTGGTGCCTTTGAGTCATCTGATCTGGTGCTGTGGACAAGCAGCACGGGATATAAATCCAGCAGATTCCATAAATACACAGTTTGCATCAACACTTCAAGCAAAGACTTAATTAGAAAGTTACAGCTCATTAAAAGAGCACCAATTAGCTTTTTCAACTACATATTTTTTCCTATGCCAGGATAACAAGGCAAAGATTGGGATGCATATCAGAACCAAGCACCTTGTGCTGCTCAGTGAAACATCCCAGTGTCGTTGAAGGAACAGTCCTGGTTAAAAAGCTGGGTTTGAAATAGATGTTAGAAAATATGCTGTGAAGTTTCTGAGCCACTAGTCTGTTCATGCCAATAGACTAATCACTGATCTTGAGCAAAATGGGAAATCCTAGCCCAAGAGAAGATATTTTTTAAATTTCAAAACTAGATTTTTCTTTTCAGGTTATCAATCAACACTTGCTTTCATATAGCACCATTCAGTGTCTCCTTGCTTCCCTGAAACAGGATGGGCCAAAGAAGGTGGTTCCTCTTTGTCGAGGAATACACCATGTGGAAAGGCCCATGGCGTTGCCAAAGAGACTCAGCAGCCCTGTTTTCCTGGAGTTATTCTAGTCACTCCTGATAGGCAAACAATAGTTCTATTCTCTCTGTTTTCTACTCAGACTTGCTGTGACAGGTGTCATTCTTTTCCATGCTGTAGCACAAACTGTATTTCTCTTCCATTAACCCCCTTTGCCCGATTCTGGAGCGATTTTATCAATAAAACTTAATACACAGAATTAGTAAACTCTGTGGACCCTTGACTAGTGCTTCAAGGTGGAAAGCTTGCTACACAACAGAAAACAGAAGATAAAAGCTCAGAAGGCTCATCAACCCTTATAACAGTATTTTAAATAAGCATGATAGAAATATTCCTTAGATGGGAAAATATCTCCTATGATGTGTCCCTGCCTATTATTCAACAGTGTCCCAAATCAAGGGAAGTCTTTCTTGAGAATGCTTTAACTGTATCCCAAGAAGATATGCAAAACAACTACATGCAGACCAGATTGCGATGTCAGATATCCAGCCTGTGCCATTCTTTCCATAAGCACCTACCTGGTCATTTAAGGACTTGCAATAGCAAAACAAGCGCACATTTTGTTTTCTTAGACGTCAGTGACACGGGCTACAAGTTTCCATTAGAAGCTACCATTCAAAGCAGGTGTCCACCTTATCTGTATGAAGCCCAGCCCTACCAGAATTCCTGCTCTTCTGGCCTCCTTCACACTACAAACTGAAATACTCCTGAGAAAAAAATATAACCAAACAAGCAAATTTTAAAAAATCAGTCTGTGCTCTGTGGTTTGAAGCATTTGGATGTGTTGCCAGCACACTTGAAAACCAGGAAAGGAGGCTGAGGGCAGGGGTGCTCCATGTGTCACAGTATAATATTATGATGTTTGAGATGCCTCCTAGGTACCGTTCCAACACTAGCACTCCTTCAGTACCAATTTCTGCCACCATAAACTGGCACCACATGGAACGCACTGCAAGACTGGAAAATCTCTCTCCAGAGACATTCAGGTCAAGATCCAAATGCAGGAATTACGCTGATTACACAAGAAATCCAACACAGGACAGAAATAAAATGAGTGCAGTGCCATCAGTCAAGTCAGGAGAGAAAATACTTCTGAAGTCATTTGTATGGGCAAGCTCACCTAGAGAAGCAGAAGTACTAGGAAGTGTGTTAGAAATCTTGAGAATACAAGTGTAGTTTTACAACTGGAAAACAAGGAACGGATGAGGCTGGGATTCAGATACCTTAGCAGATTGACAGAATCCTAAATTGACTCCAGAATAGGCATATGTCAGGAACAAAGAACAATTTTTTTTTTTAATTAAAAAATTGCCTCTTGCCAGTTCACTAAAATGTCTGTTATTTTAAGAATGGTTTTGAATGTGTTCACAAACAGGTCCTTCCACAGAAAAATGAAGAAAAATGCATGTTTTAGCTATCAATTTGAAATACAACTTACTTTTTGTAGCCACCTACTTGATTCTGCATCTTGTAAGATCACTTCATACTGGGATGATCTGAGCAGCTGTATCAGACTGACATTTCAGTGGAGTTGGTGAGAGAAATACCTCCTAATTTTAATCACAGAATGGTTTGGGCCAGAAGGGACCTTAAAGATCATCTAGTTCCAACTCCCTGCCATGGGCAGAGACACCTTCCAGCAGACTGGATTGCTCAGAGCTCCATCCAACCTAGCCTCGAGCACCACCAGGGATGGACTATCCATAGCTTCTCTGGGCAACCTGCTCCAGTGCCTCACCACCCTCACAGTAAAGAATTTCTTCTGATTCTAAACCCACCATCTTTCAGGGTACAGCCATTCCCCCTTGTGCCATCACTACACACCTTTGTATAAAGTCCCTCTCCAGCTCTCTGACAAGCTCGCTTCAGGTCACAAAAAGCTGTCCCTAGAGCTTTCTACTTTCCAGGTGAACAATCCCAACTGAGTTTTCTCATAGAAGTGCTCTATCCCTCTGATCATCTTTGAGGTTCTCTTCTGGACTCTCTCCAACAGGTCTATGTCCCTCCTTTGCTGGGGACCTCAGAACTGGATGCAGTTCTCCAGGTGGAGTCTCTCCAGAAGGAAATAGAGGGGTGGAATCACATTCCTTGCCCTGCTGGTCAGGCTTCTTTTAATGTAGTCCAGGATACAAGTGGCTTTCTCGGGTGCAAGTGCACTTGGCTGCGTCATGTTGAGATTGTTGTCAACCAACTCCCCAGAATCCCCAGAATTTTTTTTCTCAGGGCTGCTGTCAATCCATGCTTTACCCAGCCTCTATTTGTGCCGGAGCTCCCGATGCACATGCAGGCCCTTGCACTTGGTCTTTTTTCTTTTTTTTTTTTTTTTTTTTTTTTGGAAGTGCTAATGGATGTTGGCAGAAAAGTAAAGGACAAGGAGGGAAAAAGAGAGAATTTATCACAGTTATGTACTTTTTTTTTCCCTCTTACTAACTGAAATCCTCCCCAGTGACTCCGTTTTAGACTGCTGTGGCTTTAGAAATAGCCTGGACAATTAAAATGCTCTCTCCAGGGTACTTCCTGCTGCTTCCTCTTGACTCCAGACTTGCATCTCATTGAAGCAGTGACCATCCTTCTGTATGAAGACAGCCTAAACCAACAGGGGATTAGATTAGCTTCCATTACCCATGAATTGTCCCTGTTCCCACATCTCTCTACTCTAGTCCCTAATAATTTTTAAAGATACTTTTTTCAGTGTGTCTGACTAATATCAGCTTTTTCATTGCCTTTACAGGATATTGGAGATTCTCCCAGCTGTGCAGAGCCATTTCAGGTCTACACAAAGCACACTCCAGCAAATTAACTTTCAGTGTATTCAGTGAATTGCTGTGGGAGACTTCTAATAGAAACAGTGAAACAGAGGAAGGAGGGAAACTAGGGAACTACCAGGCATGACACGAGCATGGAAATCCCATAACATCAGACAGAAGGAACCAGGGGAAGTCCCAAGGTAACACTAAGAAACAATTGACTGGACTAGTGAGTTTTTGTTGGGGTTTTTTTTGGGTTTTTGTGTGTTTTGTTTTGTTTTGTTTTTTGTTTTTTTGTTTTTTTTTTTTTGGGGGGGGGGGGGATTGGTTGGTTGATTCAGTGGTTTTTATTTTTTTTAATTATATGGTGTAAGATTCAAAGTAAGCACATTTCTGTGTGAACTAGCCTCCCCATTAAAATATATGGAATGTTCATCTCTCACAGCCAGAAGCTCAAATATAACTAGTATTCATAAGTTAACACCACTATAAGATTGAACCACATTGTTATTTAAGGAACGAAGTGGTAGGATTGGCATTCTAGTCTCTCCCACCTAAAGGCTCAGCATCAAGACAGAATCAACAGATCTGAGATGGACATGGCATTAACTCATGCTTCTTCTGGCATGAGATGACCTTTAAGAAAAACACATTGGAAACACTGATAGTCACTGAGCACAAATGCAATTACATGGTGCTGCCAGTCAGAACAAATACACTGTATTGTGGCCACTGAGGCAGAACAGACCCAGCCCAGGATGCCAGGCCTTAACCAGCAACTTCAGAATTCCTATTGCTATCCAGGCTCTTCTTCCACTCCAAGTGGCTGGGCTTTTTTATTGCTGGATATCTTTTTTTGCCCTGGGTTAAGCCCGCGGGTTTGCTTTTGCATACTGAACTGTGCCTGTTAGCACATTATCAAACTAAGACTCAGAAATGCTCCTTACTGGAGATGGGGAGTATTTGTTTAAGGACAGAAAAAGAGATGAAACATATGCCCAGCTTTTGCTTTTGTCTACTCTCTGCAATACATAGTCATTGTTGTGCTGTCTGTGACACCCAATTTGGCTTGATCCTAAAATAAACTCAGGTACAACCTACCTTTCAGCAGGAGGTAGGAGCAGCAGCAGGTAAAACAACACAAGGACACCAACTGTCCAAGGTGCTTCCCTACATCTCCACCCACAAGGAGCTGCTAAGTAAATACCAGCTCATGACAGCTAAGCTTAGCAAGTTTTGCTTCCTCATCCCTCAGCAGCCTTCTACCCATTATCCTCCTATCTATATGAAGATTTGCAAGTGTACTTTTGGTTGTTCATTATGTACCATTCCCCCACACTTCTTTGCAAAGTCTGTGGCCAAACAGGGTCCTCCTCCTACCCTCTGCATCATTCCCACCTCACAATCACCTTTTTCACCAGCATTCTAATCTCAGCAGTGTCTATCAGTGAGCCAAAGCTTGCTGAAATTAGTGAACAGTTGAGATCAGTTAAAAATTTCAGAGATTGTTTAAAAGAAGAGAGTTGTGCAACATGCTCAATAGAGCATGCTACTGTCCCAAAGGATGTCAGACAAGCAGTTGTACAACCATGGCTTTCCTGTAACGCCCAGGACTGGGTACTAGGAAATGTGATTTTTATTCCTGACTTGTCTGAAGACAGATAATATGACGGACAAGCTATTTAGCCTTACCCTGTTGTTTTTCCTGCCTAAATAATACTGAAAAACATGGAAAATTATCAGCTATGATTCTCTGACTGAGCTTTATCTATAAAACAGAGGTTCATGGGAGCAGTGGGCACAGAAGGACAGTCCTTAGCCTTATTGCTGGAGAAAATACAGTGATTGATGTATTGTCAGACAGCTTCTCCCTAAGTCACCAAAGTCTTTACAGTGCCCCAAACAGCTGAAGTTAGAAGACAACTAATAACTCTACTGTGGGCCATTATAGGGTTTCCAATCCCATTTCCTCCCAATAAATCTTTCCTAGGTCTGTAAGGGTCTAATGAGCGCTGTCAAACTGAGCTGTACGAGATGAACTACGAGCGGTGCAGCTGGACAAACTGGATCAAATGGCTTCCAGTAATGAGTATACTGGCCATCAGGGGACAAGGTCTCCAGCCAAAGTTAGAAACTTCAGAGAAACCCTGAGGTGAATGCTCAAGCCTGCCCCTGGGTAAAATCATACAACAAGAGCCAGAACTGCTAAAAAATTACATGCTCCTTTGGAGCCTCTTCTGCAAGGCCAAAAAGCTTGTGCAGCAGTGTGAACATGCATGTCATCACTTCCCTCTGGGAAAGCAGTGCTGCATTTTGTTGTTTTGTTTCAGGTTTTGCTGACTTCACTGCCTGGAATAATAAGCCAGATGGAAGGTCTGATTTTATAGGATGAGAGCAGTACATGAAAGTTAAGAGTGGAGACAAAGTACCATGGCAGCAAAGGGAGATAACTCATGGGGTGATGTTCAAAGGAGGACTCCAGGCTGAAAAGGAGGAAAAGTTGTCAGAATCTGTGGTATAGGGGAATGCAGAATGTAATGAAGACAGAAGCATACCCAAGGGCAACACAAGAATGAGCAAAATAAAATAAAGATCACCCTCTGAAAGGACAGTGCCTTTCAGATTCAAGCACTTTTTTCAGCTTGAAAGAAAGAATATTCACACCCATTCAAGTAGCTACAACTCTCTCCCGGACTGAGCACAGGTTCACTCATGAGGTGGCTCCAGCTGGGTCTGTGTCCCCAGCACCCAGAGAATGCCTCAGCAAGAAAGTAAGAAAGGATTTTTCAGGTCTCCTCTATAATCAGCATTTCATAATCTTCTTAGCTAAAAGAAAAAGGCAGATGAATCTCTGATACTTTTTCATAATAATGTAGTACAAATGGTGAGCCCAGCCCTTTCAATTAGTAGTATACAAAAAAAAAAAATGCTGTGCAGTTCTAACCAAGAAGATCAGACCACCTGCTAGTTAGGTCTATGCAATTTTTGTATTTGCATTTCATAGAGAGAGTATTATAAAGTAACATGACAGAGGAACAGGCATAGTACCAATATTTTTAAAGACTGACTGCCCGAACTTGTAAGTCCATATAATTTTCAAATGTCATCAATAAGCAAAACTCCAGATGCTCCTACATTCTGAAAATGCAGCTATCATCATGACTGCCTGCTTACAAAAGAGCAGCACCCCCTAAACTCATCTAATTCACTCCCACATCCCTTACAAATATTAACAATTGGAATGTCTATAGGACTTAACTTCAAAGAGGCTGAGATAGTACATAGGACTCATTTAGTTAATGTAAGAGGGAGGAAAAAAAGTTACTTTTCAATTAAATGATAAGACAAACATTGTGAAGAATTGAGTCTTTTCCTTAAATTATAGTCCTAATTCAGTCATTACACATAATTATTAAATTTGCACTAAATGATTAGATAGGCTTTACTTACAAAAGAGAAATAAATGGAGCTGCCAATGTTGGCATATATCACTATTTAAAATAAAGACCAGAACTCCTCCTTGGTGTGCCAGCCTGTTTGTGGGTGCATTTGCACCAATATCCATTTCAGACAGCTCAATTTTTCAATACACTAAATAGCCAATGGAAGATACCATCTATATTCACCTTAGAGCTTTTGATATGTCCTATTCACAGGGACCATAATGAGTGATGTAATGCATATATTTGTGTGCAATTTTAAAAAAAATGAAACACAACAAATGAGCAGAATTTGGAGAAATAATTTAGTTCTTTCCAACAGGGAAAATCAGCAATGCTGCAAGCAATGCAATAGCACAGTAAAATGCTCTGCATAAAACAGACTATAAGGAAATTTCCAGAACTGATCAAAGCTCTGACTTATCAATAAAAAGGGATAGTAAAAACACCTTCCGCTATGTACTTGGCCACTAGGTCATATGCAGTAACATGTATATTCCCCTTAGTGGAAACTATTTGCTTCACTAGTGGCAAGAATTGTCACATTTGAAAGGTGCAATATTAAGCATGTCATAAATTTTATTTCTCAGTTATGAGGAAAAATAAATCTACTTCAAAATTCAGTTTTTCCTTCTCTACCTCTACTCCGCTCAGCATGCTGTACTTAAATGCGAAATAAGATGTACTTTAACAAGATTTTATAAAAGAAATAAAAAGAACAGCTGAAGAAGGATGCTTGCTGTGCAGAACAGTAAGCTTTCTAGGTCTTACAAAACTAGACTCTTACATATTCACTAGAACACTTATCGGAAGCATTTATGACTAGATAGAGGGGGGTTTCTAGGTACTCCTACAGATCTCAAAGCAAACATTAAATGCTGCATAGCCCTCCTGCACAGCCATGGTTATTGCTGTTTGCAGAGAAGCACGTAACACTGAAACGACAGAAGCTGTACCAGGGGCTGCAGCTGCGCTGGGGATGGGCAGTGCAGGAAGGCTGACAGCCACTGCAGCTGCAAGCAGCTGGAAGCAGGGATGTCAGGCCACCAGAGGAGGTGACCAGTCTGGCATTTTGAATCCCAAACACCAGCATGCACCAAATTAAGCAAACTATTCAGCGGCTGCAAAACTGCAGAGGTTGCTGAAAACCCTGAGCAATAATCGTTGTTTGTTCAGCAAGGCCACTTAACTGGAATGGGTAATACACAAAGGCCTCACCACAATTAATTGACACATTAATTGACAAACCATTGCCTCTAGCTTGCTTGATGCCAGATGCTGACAGTTCTTGTGGACTCCCTGGCTGCCCTCTACCCATGGTCACATCCTGCTGCAGCTCATAAGCTGTCCTGGGGACACAAGCACTTTGCAGGAAGCTTCACCAGAGAACTTGCTTGTGTAATGCGTTTCAGCCTATCTGTCACCAAATATCACCCTTAGCACAGGATTTCTGCAAAGGGAAAGCAGCAGGCTCCATTTGGAGCTCTGGGAAAGCAAAATGGAGGTTCTACAGCAGCTAGGGACCAAGGGGGAATATTAAACACTCCATGCCTAATCGAGCATCTTTTCAAATTAGTCTGACTGCCTTATTTGCTCTATTCAGATAGAACAATGAGCTGAAATGTTACAAAGCATCTGCAGCACTGAGCCCCACAGGCACCCTCCCCTTCCTGCTGTGCTGAGCCATCACTCTAATACTTTTGCAGAAAGGAAATGTAGGCAGACTGGGGTTGAGAGCCCTCTTTGCTCATCTTTCCCCACATGGTGCTGGTAATATGCATTGCCACATGCCACTTGCACAGGAACCACTCCCACCTAAACACCTTTAGGTAGCTACAATCCCTTATACATAAAACTTTTAATTAAAAAAAAAATAAGGCTTCCCTTTTTAATCAAGAACTAGTAAAGAGTATCTCACCAGATAAACCACCTCCAATTATTTTAAGACAAACAAGCCTCATTTTCAAATTAAAATGGGAACAAATATGTTAAATGCACAGGAATGGTTTGACTCATTCAAGGATAAGTCTGTAAAAATCTATAGCTCATGATGTATATAGAGGGCCAGAGGTTGGAATTACCTCATAGGTCCTTTGCAGTTGTATACGAAACATTTTATAAAATATTATTTCTCTGACTCTTCACCACTTCAACCTACATCCATACTCATCACCCCACATAGTCACTGTATGCCTTCCCCCAAACCAAATCACAGAAACTACTGATCAAAAAGAATGCATGAACAGCACTCCCTATCTCAGTGCCTGTTCCTCCCAGCCCCAGCTGGGTCACCAAAACATCAGCACTGGAACTAAAAGTATAACACTTAAACTTCGGTATAGACTGAAGCTAGAGCTTTCCACAGAGCAGCTGTAAGAATGTTTTTGCAAACAGGGCAGAAAAGTGTAATGAGCTCAGAGCAAGCACTGTTTAATTAGGGCAGTATGAGCTGTTGTAGTTTCTTCAAAACCTCACTCATTCCAAAAGTCCCCTGCAGAGCAGCCAGGCCTGAGGCAGGCATCCTCTCACCTGTAGAATTAGAAAGGAAAAAAACTCTTTGTGCATGTTTCCACAAAGTGCACATGCCAGAAAGGCCCAAGAAGAAAGGAAGAAAAGACTCCTTCCAAATACCAGGCCAAATATGGAAAGGTAACAACGATTTTCAAATCAGAGCAGCTTTTTGCTCACCTAAACATAACCTAAAAAGAAGGTTGTTAGCCTCTGCTATTGGCTTGATACCAAAAATCATGAATTTCAGGAGCAAGGGAAAAATAGCACTAACACCAGTGATCAAATAATTAAGGATGTGACCTCCAATTTTTGTTCACCTGGAATTTAAACCTATTTAAGAAATGCCTGCTGATAAGCCCACCAAGAGACAAACAGAGGGTAAACCAAGGGGAGACTTTGATGTGCTTCTCCATTATCTGCACCACTGCTTCCTCACTACACCAACATGCTCCAAAACTCTCCTTTTCTTCCAGCTTACCACCTCTCTGGTACTTTTTAGAAACATTTTTGATTTAATTTTCTTGAATGAAACAATGCCCACTCCTACTGCAAAAAGAAGACCAGGAAGGATTGTGAATGTCTGCCTAGATTAGGAAAGTTAACATTGATTTAGACAACACTGGGTGCATAAGGCAGGCCTGTTTGTTTACATCCTGCACGCTGCTTGTTAACAGCATCCCACGTTACTGGCTGCACTGCAACAGCCTCAAAATCTTTACAGTGTATTGACTCTATCTTGAGAGTTGCCATATGCTTTCTCTAACTGTTAGATTAATAATTTAAGATCTGACACTGATCAGTTCACAGCATTTGTTCATTTACCTGAAAAGCAGCTGCTGCTTAAGAGCTGCTATGGTTTACTTGCAACAAAAGCAGTTACTTTTAGTTTTCCTCTTAAAAAAAAAAAAAGAAAAGCAAAAAACAGAAAAAATTATCTAACATAAAACAACAATTAAAAAGTACATATTTTGAAAGACGAAGCTTTGGTGAATGCTGTTAGTTGACACATTAAGAAACACTCTTTCAAAACCATGTTTGGAAACATAATTCATGAAACAACTAAGGCAAGATGTCTTCTGCTGAAGACTCTTTGAGCCCACCAATGTGTCAGCTTTCTGGGTTTGCAGTAACAGTTGTCTGTCTTCTCAGAGGAACAGGCTGAGGACTAAAATGACTTATTTTTGAGTGGTTATTTGTATGAAATTAAAACTTCAGATTTAGAAATACATAAAACAGATGACCATACAGCCTAAGCGATGTTTTCAAGAAATAAAGACTTTGACAGTTTCACATCATGAAGTACATAATAAAGAGGATTCTCAATCTTATTTCAAGTAAATCTAACATATAATTTCCAGAGAAGAATCCCATTTTGAAATAGCATCCAGCATTAAATCTTGAGAAATCTGATACAATAAAGTTAATATAATAGTAAGTAGCATAAAGTAAATGGTTGTTGCTGCTATAAAATTTTGCATGTGTAAGATTGCTCTGTAATCTTAGTAGACAGAGAAACATCCAGAAAATATAATTTCATCCTCTATTTGTCTATTGCTAACCTTTGTCTGACATTCTTCTAGGCACTTCCTCACTTTCTTATGAAGCAAGGGAGAGTATAAATGCGGCA